CCCCTCTCTGCCAATCCCTCCACTGGCCTCTACTCAGTGTCCTCCACCTCTCTCTGCCAATCCCTCCACTGGCCTCTACTCAGTGTCCTCCACCCCTCTCTGGCAATCCCTCCTTTGGTCTCCATTCAGTGTCCCCCATCCCTCTCTGCGAATCCCTCCACTGGCCTCCACTCAATGTCCTCCATCCCTCTCTGTCAATCCCTCCACTGGTCTCCATTCGGTGTCCTCCACCCCTCTCTGCCAGTCCCTCCACTGGCCCCCACTCAGTGTCCTCCATCCCTCTCTGTCAATCCCTCCACTGGCCTCCATTCAGTGTCCTCCACCCCTCTGTGCTAATCCCTCCACTGGCCTTCACTCAGTGTCCTCCACCCCTCTCTTCTAATCCCTCCACTGGCCTCCATTCAGTGTCCTCCATCCCTCTCTGCCAATCCCTCCACTGGCCTCCATTCAGTGTCCTCCACCCCTCTCTGCCAATCCCTCCTTTGGTCTCCATTCAGTGTCCCCTACTCCTCACTGCCAATCCCTCCACTGATCTCCACTCATTGTCCTCCACCCCTCTGTGCCAATCCCTCCACTGGCCTCCACTCAATGTCCTCCACCCCTCTCTGCCAATCCCTCCACTGGCCTCCATTCAGTGTCCCCCACCCCTCTCTGCCAATCCCTCCACTGGCCTCCCCTCAATGTCCTCCATCCCTCTCTGCCAATTCCTCCACTGGTCTCCATTCAGTGTCCTCCATACCTCTCTGCCAATCCCTCCACTTGCCTCCACTCAGTGTCCTCCACCCCTCTCTGCCAATCCCTCCACTGGCCTCCATTCAGTGTCCCCCACCCCTCTCTGCCAATCCCTCCACTGGCCTCCACTCAATGTCCTCCATCCCTCTCTGCCAATTACTCCACTGGTCTCCATTCAGTGTCCTCCATACCTCTCTGCCAATTCCTCCACTGGTCTCCATTCAGCGTCCTCCATACCTCTCTGCCAATCCCTCCACTTGCCTCCACTCAGTGTCCTCCACCCCTCTCTGCCAATCCCTCCACTGGCCTCCATTCAGTGTCCTCCACCCCTCTCTGCCAATCCCTCCGCTGACCTCCATTCAGTGTCCTCCACCCCCCTCTGCCAATCCCTCCACTGGCCTCCACTCAGTGTCCTCCACCACCCTCTGCCAATCCCTCCACTGGCCTCCATTCAGTGTCCTCCACCCCCCTCTGCCAATCCCTCCACTGGCCTCCACTCAGTGTCCTCCACCCCCCTCTGCCAATCCCTCCACTGGCCTCCACTCAGTGTCCTCCACCCCCCTCTGCCAATCCCTCCACTGGTCTCCACTCAGTGTCCTCCACCCCCCTCTGCCAATCCCTCCACTGGCCTCCATTCAGTGTCCTCCACCCCTCTCTGCCAATCCCTTCACTGGTCTCCATTCAGTGTCCTCCACCCCTCTCTGCCAATCCCTCCACTGGCCTCCATTCAGTGTCCTCCACCCCTCTCTGCCAATCCCTTCACTGGTCTCCATTCAGTGTCCTCCACCCCTCTCTGCCAATCCCTCCACTGGCTTCCCATTGCCCAACAAATAAAATTCAAAACATTAACAATAACATATAAAGCCATTTATAACTCTGCCCCAAACTACATCACCAATCTTGTCCCCAAATATCACCCAAACCGTACTCTCCGCTCCTCGCACGACCTCCTGCTCTCTAGCTCCCTTGTCTCCTCCTCCCATGCTCGTCTCCAGGACTTCTCCAGAGCCTCCCCCAACCTCTGGAACTCTCTACCCCAATCTACTCTGACCACTTTTAGGTGATCTCTGAAAACCTATCTCTTTAGGGAAGCCTATCCTGCCCTCAGCTAATACTGGAATCTTCTATTCCTCCTACCAGCCCATCCCCCACAGTTATTACCTTTTTGTACCACTAGCCCCTCCCTCTTAGATTGTAAGCTCCCAGGATCAGGGCCCTCCTATTCCTCTTGTATTGAACTGTATTGTTGCTGTATTGTCTCCTGTTATATTGTACAGCGCTGAGCAAACTGTTGGCGCCATAAATCCTGTATAATAATAATATTTTGCGTTGCTTACAAATCTGACTCATCAAAACTTTTCTCCAATTAAAGATATGACCCTAAAACGGACAACTGGACGACAGTGGCCCCGCTGAGCGTTCCCAGGGATGCTGTCGGAGTGTGCGCTCTCGGAGACAGGCTGTACGCCGTGGGCGGATATGACGGCCAAACGTACCTCAACACGGTGGAGTCCTACGACACACAGACCAATGAGTGGACACAGGTGGGTTACCCGCTGTACAGCCGCTGGATCACTTTTACAGGAGGTGGATGGGTGTCATTTCTGGTTTTGGGTTGTTACTGTCTTGTACAGCAGCCAATCGAATGGATATCAGTTTGATCGGCTGCTTTGGAGGCCAGAGGAGAGATGTGACGTCTCATAGACCCCAGATCTCTATATACAAAGGACCTGTCAAGGCCCACGCTATCAATTGATGGCTTCAATCTTTCTTGGTCTCCCTGACCTTGGCTTGGTATCAAGAGATCCCCGAACTTTCCACTTCTTAATAGGTGATGTAACAGCACTGATTGGCATATTCAAGGCTTTGGACATCTTTTTATGTCCTTTTCCATCGTTATAAAGCTCCATTACCTTGTAACGCAGGACTTTTGACAGTTCTTTTCTGCTCCCCATGGCTCAGTATCTAGCCTAGTCAGTGCTTCCACGTAAGAGCTAACAAACTCATTGACTATTTATACACTGACACTAATTGCAATTTAAAAAGCCACAGATGTGGGATATTAACCTCTGATTGGCATTGTAACCCGTGTGTGTCACCTTGTGTGTCTGTACCAAGGCCGAACATTGCAGGGGGCGGAGACTTATGATCCGGGGGTGGAGACTTCTGATCCGGGGGCGGAGACTTCTGATCCGGGGGTGGAGACTTCTGGACCCGGGGGCGGATACTTCTGATCCCGGAGGCGGAGACTTCTGATCCGGGGGTGGAGACTTCTGATCCCGGGGGCGGAGACTTCTGATCCCGGGGGCGGAGACTTCTGATCTGGGGATGGAGACTTCTGATCCGGGGACAGAGACTTCTGTTCCCAGGGAGGAGACTTCTGATCCGGGAACGGAGACTTCTGATCCGGGGGCAGAGACCTCTGATCCGAGGATGGAGACTTCTGATCCGGGGATGGAGACTTCTGATCCGGGTGGTGGAGACTTCTGATCCGGGTGGTGGAGACTTCTGTTCCGGGGACGGAGACTTCTGATCCGGGGACGGAGACTTCTGATCCGGGGACGGAGACTTCTGATCCGGGGACGGAGACTTCTGATCCGGGGACGGAGACTTCTGATCCGGGGGCAGAGACCTCTGATCCGGGGATGGAGACTTCTGATCCGGGGATGGAGACTTCTGATCCGGGTGGTGGAGACTTCTGATCCGGGGACGGAGACTTCTGATCCGGGGACGGAGACTTCTGTTCCGGGGACGGAGACTTCTGATCCCACGGAGGAGACTTCTGATCCCAGGGAGGAGACTTCTGATCCCAGGGAGGAGACTTCTGATCCGGGGACGGAGACTTCTGATCCGGGGACGGAGACTTCTGATCCGGGGACGGAGACTTCTGATCCGGGGACGGAGACTTCTGATCTGGGGACGGAGACTTCTGATCCGGGGATGGAGACTTCTGATCCCGGGGGACGGAGACTTGTGATCCCGGGGGACGGAGACTTCTGATCCCGGGGGCAGAGACTTCTGATTCGGGGATGGAGACTTCTGATCCGGGGACGGAGACTTCTGATCCGGGTGGTGGAGACTTCTGATCCCAGGGAGGAGACTTCTGATCCCAGGGAGGAGACTTCTGATCCCAGGGACGGAGACTTCTGATCCGGGTGGTGGTGGAGACTTCTGATCCCAGGGACGGAGACTTCTGATCCGGGTGGTGGAGACTTCTGATCCGGGCCATTTGGGTGATTTCTGTTATCATTGAGCCAAACAACAATGTGATAATAAATGGCTTCATATGATCATCATCCTTCAATAAAAGAGCATTTTTTGGCAGATAAGTCATATTTTCAATATCAATGCCAAAATGTCACAATTTCTGCCAGGGGGGCCAAACTTTTGAGCACAACTGTATATACGTGATTTTGCATTTCCGGGAAGGGGGTGCACGTGAGTGCCCTATCCACGACACCATTCGGATGTCAATCCGTTGATTACCCGCCAGCGCCCGGTGATTACCAACAATCACCAACGGGAAGGAAGACTGTTTTGTTTACAAAGAATCTTCCTCCCTGTCAGCTCGGGCACACTGCACAGCACAGCCATCCCGATCAGTGTGCTTACAGTGAAGCACCCACCCCCTAGTAAAACTCTCCCAGCACATAGTTAACCCTTTCATCGCCCCTCACATTAACCCCTTCCTGCCCAGCGTCACTAGTACAGTGTCAGTGCTTTTTTTTTTAGCACTGATGAGTGTTTTGGTGTCACTGGGGATGTCAGTGACACCAAGTTAGTTTCCCTCCAGTGTCAGACTGTCTGCCGCAGTCCCGCTAAAAGTCGCTGATCGCCGCCATTACTAGTAAAAAAAAAAATCCCATTATCTACACATGCCATTTGTAAACGTTATCACTTTCACATAAACCAATTAATTTACATGTATTGGGATTTTTTTCAGCGAAGACACGGAGCAGATAACATTTTGGCCAAAATGTATGACGAAATTTGATTTTTAAAAATTTTTTACCGGACATGTTTAACTAGTTGCCGACCACAGATAGCCGAATGACGGCTAAACTGCGGCCGGCCAGTTCTGAGTGGACGTCATATGACGTCCCCCCAGAGCGCGCTCTCCTGCGCGCCCCAGGGGGCGCGCACCCGGCGATCTCCGTGATCGCTGTGTCCTACGGACACAGCTGATCACGTGATGTGGTAAAAGGCCAATCACAGCGGTCTTTTACCACGTGATCAGCGGTGTCCAATGACACGCTGATCACCGGGAA